AAGTAATAAGCGACAGGACAAGAGGGAATGGCCTCAAGTTGAACCAGGGAAGGTTTAGACTGGATATTGGGAAGTATTTCTTTCCAGAAGGGGTTGTGAGGGGTTGGAATAGGCTGCCCAGGGAGGTGGTGGATTTCCCATCCCTGGAGGTGTTTAAGAGTCGGGTTGACATAGCGCTGAGGGGTATGGTGTAGTTGAGAATGGTCAGTGTTAAGTTTATAGTTGGACTGGATGATCTTCAAGGTCTTTATCAACCTAGATGATTCTGTGACTCTATAGAAACACATTTTTCTGTATTAAATACTTGACTAAACACAGTTACTGTAGCTCTGCTCCCTGTTCCTAACATGGGAAATTATTGAAGTGTAAGAATCACAACCATGGAGAAGTAAAAAAGTGGCCAGATTTGATTTTTCACTCATAATTCCTTTAGTGAGGAAACATGCATTTTCCTTAAGATATTGATAAAGAATGTCAGTTTTAAAAAGGTAGAAATCAGACAGTTTAAATAAGGAGAAACATGTTTCACTTATACATGTGCACTCATTCCCACACTCTGAATTAAGTAGAGTAACAGCATAAAAAAATTTGATAATTTTCTTTTTCATAAAAACATGCTTATCTTGAATGGGAATTTTGTTTCACTGGATGCTCCTGCTTAGAACAAAAATTATCCCAACACTCAGAATCCTCAGGTGTGATTGGAATACCAGATGCAACTAAATCTTCAAAAGTCAATAATGTAAACTGTGGTTGGTTAGGCTCCATGGAACATACCTATGGAAAAAGCATATTAGTATTACATGAATCAATAAATCTCTATTTTCTTCCTGCAGTATTCCCTATAGTTTACAACTACACAGTGCTTACTAAAGAGGAAAGAAAAAATTCCAGTCAAGACCAATATCACTGTCCCTACTTTAGGCTATACAGTAACTAATAGAAGCATGTAGCAGGACTGCCATGGTTTGAGCTCAGAGGGCAACTGAACACCGCGCAACTGCCACTCCCTGCCTTGCCCCAACGCTGAGAAGGGAAAAATAAGCAAAGACGCTGCTCACTCCCCTCTTCCTCCCCCAGCACTGAGAAAGAAGAAAGCAGAAGACTCAGGAACTTGAGATAAGGACAATGACCTCCTGCTTTAAAGCACAGGCAAAAGACAGACTTGTTAGGGGAAGAAATAAAAGAACATAAAATTAATACACTAACAAGAAGTCTTAATAAAGTAGGACTGTGAGAAGCATTACCATATCCTGAAAACACCTTCTCCCATCCCTCCCTTCTCCCCAGGCTCAGCTTTGCTCCAATATCTCAACCTCCTCCACCTCAGCAGCGCAGGAGGCAGGGAATGGGGGGTGCAGTCAGTCCTGTTGCTTCTTCCACCTCGGGGAGGGTGAAACTTCTGGCATTCCTCCCCTGTTTCAGTGGAATTTGCCTCTCACAGAAGACAGCCCTCCACAAACTCTCTCCACCACGAGTCACTCCCATGGGCATGTGGGTCACCCCCACATGTTGCAGTCCTCCCAGCGCCAAACTACAACAGCGGGACGTTCTTCCCACAGGGTCCCGGTCTTCTTCAGGCACAGTCACCTGGGTCAGCGTGGGGCCCCCCAGAGTCCACAAACTGTTATCCGCTCCTCCAGTGACCTCCATGGGTGGCTGGGGAGGGGGGTGGCCCTGCCATCTCACCACAGGGTACAGGGGAGTCTCTGCTGTGGTGCTCCTCCCCTACTTCCTTCCACCGACCTTGGTGTTTGCATAGATGTTCTCACAACTTCTCCTCACAACTCCTACCCCTCCTCCCATGTTCGCCTTCTTAAATACACTGTCACAGAGATGGAGCTAATCGGCCCAGCCCTGGTGCAAAGGTGGGTCTGACTGGGAGCTGGGGGAGCTTCAAGAAGCTTCTCACAGGGGGCCACCACTGTAGCCCCCTCCCCTGCTACCAAAAAAAACCCCCACCACTCACTCAAACGAGGACAAGGCCACACAGAAAAAGCTTTTCTTTGAAACTGTTCAGAAAACTAAAAGAATGAGACAGAGAATGCTGCAAATACCATAGAAGGAGTGTTTAAGTCTAGAAAAAAAGGAAGAAAAACCACACCAACAAACAAACAACTTCATTCTCCAACAGACATGATTATTTGAGGTGACAGCATAAGGATTGATTCCACTAGAGGTGTGTCTATTCATAGTGTTTTTAATACCAGCAGTCACTGGGGTTGGGCATGCTTCT